CGGTGCCCTTAACCCCCCCCGGGTAGGGACCATCCACAACCTCTCTGTCAACCTGTTCCAGTGTCTCACCACCCTCCTACTGAAGAACTTCCTAAGATCTAGGTGCCACAATTGGCTGCAATCACCTAAAGGCCGTAGGATTGGGAGGACCATGAGTTTGACCCGTGGAGCAATTCTTGGTGACCATTCTTGCAACAGAAACCTGCTTTTTGTTCCTTGTTTGAGGGAAATCAATTTAGTTGTGCCGTTGTTTAAAGCCTCCTGACCACCCAGCACTTCTCCTCCGGGCAGTGGTGCCTAATGGGTTATCTCTAGAGCACTTCCTTGCTTTTCTCTTGAGCATTGCAATGCTGTGCTGGGCTTTCAGAAACATCCTTGGAGTCAGCAGCATGTGAATTTTTCAAGCCAGTGGCTGTTACTAAATGAACTTGAGTAGGTAGGAGGTCAATGTCATGAATTCACTACTTCTGCTTTCAAACGAAGGGTTCTGGGATTCTGCTCTTGGAAGATGACTCTGTCTACGAAGGGAACTTCACAGAAGATCTAAAATTTGTTGGAAAGGTGAGCACTTCTTTCACCTCAGCCTTGCTTGCTTGCTTTGCAGAAGGGCCAACGGATTCATCTTCAAAGTTCATCCCCTCCTGTTCCACTTCCTCCAGTCCCTTCGAAAAAAAAATCATTTTCCTGTGGGTTTTGTGGTGGTGTTTTTTTTTTGGGGTTGTTTTGGTTGTTTTTTTCCTTTAGCAGTCTCCTTCCCAGCAGGAAGGCTGCAGCTGAGACACTTCCAGCAGCTGGGAGCTTTGTGCAGTGGTTTTGTTTGTAGTGTTTTGTTGTTGGTGGGACACTTTTGTCTGGGCTTCACAGCTGCTTTTCTCTCCTCAGAACAAACGTTTCAGCCTTTGTGGTGGTTGGGGGCACAGGAAATGTGTCAAGCAGAGCTGCTACGCTAACGTCACCGAGATGTTAACGTAGCTGAGGGATCCTGGGAGGGGAATTTTGTCATCTGGGCGTTGCGTTGACACCTTCAGCCTTTTGGGGTTGATCTTTAGCAGAAATATCTGGTCAGAGCTCCCCGTTGCAGGGAGAACAAGTCCTCTGGCTCGTCACAGAGATCTGTGATGAGTCTGGCAGGAAGTGCGTGGTTCTATCAGGTTGAGAGGTTGTCAAAATAGACACGTGGTGAGGATTGCAAACGAGTCTTGTCATGGCAGGAAGACTTTGTCATCGTCCTCTTCAGCCAGAAGGATTTTGCAGAGCCTGATTATAGCACTCAGCTCCTGCTTCCTCTAAAATGAATGTTTGCTTTGCGTGATTAGTGTAGAAAAATCTGTTTTTTATCTAAAGATGGAGTGCCTGCTGCTATTAGCCATGAGGTTTTCAGGCTCGTGTTCAAAGCCAGACTTGTTACAATATTGTTTGGCTTTGGGTTTGACTTAATTAAAACTTGTAAGTTTGAGTCAAGCTACTGCATGTCTTCTGTTTTTTTTGCCTCGGAGACTTTTAAGGTTTTTCTTGGTCGCAGCAAACATCTTGAAAGCATTTATGGGGAATATCACGTGGTTCCCCTCACCTGTGAGGACAAACTTGCCTGTGGTTTGAACAAGCAGAGGAGAAATTCAAGTTTTATGTGGTCACTTGAGGTTAGAAATATCCATTGTCAGCTTTTAAGCCAGAAAACTTGGTATTTAAAGGTGGGATCAAGTATTTGTAAAGCATTAATGGAGATGTTTCACTCGGGGGCTGTGGTGGTCTTTCCCCTTCAAGATCCTACGTGTGTTGTTCAATACCAAGACCATGTTTTCTCCAGTGACTTCCACCTTAATGAGTGTTGCTTTGGATGAGGAAAATGGGCACCTCTCTGCTGGAAGATGTTCTCAGTTGCTGTTTCAAGACTTGGCTCTGTGGAAAAGAGAATTTGAGATCTTGGTCCAGCTTGTTTCCTCTCGCTAATGAGATCTTGGCAGAATAACCCTTTATTTCTCTGGTGCAGGGAAAGTTGTCCTTTGCCAATGGTTTCATTCTGGAGGGAACCTTTACTAATAAGCTGGGCCAAGGCCTTCAGACGCACGGCATCCTGAACACGTCCCACGAGCAGCTGGATGACTGGATAACCAAAGCGTGAGAAACAACTCCTGACTTCTTGGGGCATGGCTTGTGCTTTGAGTCTGCTCAGAGGAGTGCTGGATCAAAGCCTGAGAGAATTGATCTAAGGGCCAGGTCCTGCCCTTGGGTCACAACAGCCCCCTGCAAGGCTCTGGGTTTGGGGCAGGGTGGCTGGAAAGTGCCCAGCAGGAAAGGACCTGGGGGTGCTGGCTGACAACCAACTAAATATGCACCAGTGTGTGCCCGGGTGCCTAAGAAGGCCACCAGCATCCTGGCCTGGATTAGCACTGGTGTGGCCAGCAGGAGCAGGGCAGGGATTGTCCAACTGGACTGGGCACTGGGGTGGCCACAGGTTGAGTCCTGGGGTCAGTTTTGGGCCCCTCCCTCCAAAAGGACCTTGAGGGGCTGGAGCGTGGCCAGGGGAGGGCAATGGGGACTGTGGGGGA